AAGAAATGATAGCAAATGATACAAATCCATCTACAGCACGTTGGGAAAGGCTGTGCTGCAATACAGGAGACCAGGCAGTAACTCAAAACATATAAAGACAGGACTGTATGGCAAAGTGTGCTGATAATATACAGAAGAGATTGCTGTAAGAAAGAAAATGTAATGATCTGAAACTTTCGCCTTCGCCTTAGATGAGAAGCCTTACAGAAATTAATGAGGCAAACTTGCAAGCTGGATGAACCCTAATTTGGTAACTCAGGAAAATTATGAAATCATCATAAATATCAATTACTTCTCATGTAGTCTGATAAATTTCCAACAGACAGGTGGCATAATAAATTATGTATTCTTTGTCAGTTAGTCTCTTGCATGCTGGGAAAGGTAGCTCTCCAGAGCAGTGTTAGTAGCACATTAGCATAAACATTAGAAATCTGGTAATAGAGAAATCATCACTCCAACTAGAGAGCTACTGCTCTCTGAACATACTCCGCAGAATCAAGCTTCTCTATATTATCTGGAAAGTAATTGCAATTCTCACATCCATAACCTTTATATGGATAAGAGAAAAGGGTCACCTTTACAGTATGAATTGCTTGACAGTTTCTGTAAGTAATTATCTGGCCTTGTACAAATGAAGTGGCACAAAATAATATTTCAGTGACGAAATCACCTTCCTAGGGCAAGATAGCTCAGCAACAGAAGTACCCAGATAGCTAGAGCAGATAAGCAAGCTGTGGAAAAATATCAGACAAGGCACAGTGTTCCTTCCATAGGCAAACAGAAGGCACTGACAGGATTTGGGTCTGCCTGCCCTCCTGCAGCCGAGCACATCCCTACGGCACCACTGCAGCCATGCAGATGCCACCTGTATCTGCTTTAGGGAGATGGTAAAAAAAGGTTTAAGATTCAGATGCTTAAAGCAGGCAATGCTATTTTAATGAAGCGATGCTTAACTCAGCGTTTTCCATTACTCCTAGAAAATACCTTGTTTTAGGAAGAAAAAAAAAAAAAAACCTTAAAAAAAGAAATTGATTTTTTTTTTTTTTTTTTTTTTCTGGCCAATTTATCTCTATTCTCTGTTTCTTTGCAGTGCACCCCCACCACCGCACGGCATCTGAAAAAATCACCACAGCGCACTCAGGCTCGCACTCCGTCACAAAGGTAAACAGAGCTCCAGCCCTGCCCACCGCACAGGCCAAAAACCCAGCGTTCGTTCACGCTGTGTGTTTATCCAAGTCGTTGAAGAACCAACCCGAAGCACTACGTTCCTACCAGCATCTACGTAACTTTATTTAAGTCATCGGTCGTGCAGAGAAATCCCGACTGTTGACAGAGAACGTGAAAGCTCACGTGCCGAGGAAGAGAACCCCAGCCCCCCTCCCCGCGCTACCCCAGCACCGTACCCGCTCTGCCCCAGCGGCACCGCCCCACCTCTGGCGTTGCAGGCGACGGCCCGCCGAAGGCGGGAAGCAGAGCAAGACCCCCCGCGGCCGCGCTGCAACGCCCGGCGCCAAACCCCACCGCAGCCACGCGCCGCCATTTTGCTTTGCAAAACGCCGAGTGGTTACCGCAGCACCCCCTGGGAAATGCAGTCCTGCGCGCCGGATGGCCTGGCGGAGAGGCGGGAAGGAGAACTACAACTCCCGACAGAACCCTCACAGTGGTTTCCCGCCCAGGCCCGCCGCTGAGGGAAGAGCGGGCTGCACGCGCATGCTCCGCCTGACGGGGTCAGGAACGAGAGAACGGGGGGTTGCGGCGAGCGTGAGGCTTTTATCCCTCAGTTGGGCTGACTCGGCGCCTAGTTAGCAGGCAGGTGCAAGCGTGGTTCTCCCTTAATTCTGGAGAGGCAGTGCCCCTTGTGCCTAGGAATGTGACGCTATCAGCGCGAGAAACAGTTTCAATGCAGTCTGAGGAGGTCTCGAGAGCCCTGAATCCACAGGTCCTCAGCCTAGCTTGAGAAAATTAACAGTCGTCCTAGAAGTGCTGGCACAAGAGACATTGATTACTTTTCTGCCTTTGTCTGAGCTCTTGTTTAAAATGTCTCTCAGGGTTTCCTAAGGGTTGCATATTCTTTTCTTTTGGTGCCTGATACAAAACCAGCTGATGTTCTGAGGGTGGTGTTTCGCAAATGCTGGGCATCAGACATCACCTGCTGTTGCCTGACATGTTGCTCGTATGGTGCCATTTGGTTGCAGTCTTGTATGAAGAGCAGTGGGATCTTGTCCATTCCAGGCATGAGGGTGTTATTGCTGCACAAATACGTGGCAATAAAGATCACCGTCCAGGGTGTATGCTAGCATTCTAGATGCTGTTTATGCAGCTACATCTAGCAGACGATAGAATTAATAACCTTCTGTCCTAAGCCACAGGCCTGTGGAGCTTAAATGGAAACGTACATTAGCTGTTGCTTATGTCATGTTTGCTCTCTGTCAGATGCTTCTAATAGAAGCTAATCTGTCATAAACATATGAATAGGACTGATTTCTTCCAGCAGAGGACAGTGGTGCACATAAGCACTTGACGTTATCTTGTGGACTTCATAACCTCTCCTCTTCATAACAAGTCCTCCCAAGCTCGAATGTGAGATGCTAAGCAGTTCAGAATAATGTGGAATGTGTAATTTATCCAACTAAAAAAAATGTTCTGCAACTTTTGTTCCATGTTCACTTTCTAAAATACTTATATTTTAAATGAGTAGAATTAGCAGAAAGTTCTACAAGAACAAGTTGGGAGATACCTTTAGCAGATGCAGATCTGCAGTTACTTCCACAGTATAGTTTAGGAGTTTCAATTTGTTGCTTTTTCTCAGTGAAAATTCTTCATGAATCTCCAAGTCTGACCAAGACGTAATTCCTTTGCAGTAAAGAAAAACTGGCCCCAGGTGGTCTTGGACACATTCTGAAGAATGAAAGAAGATTGGTGTGCCGCTACTCCTCATCTCTTATCGTGGAGCTCCCTGCGTATGAGACACCCTAACATAATGCCTTTGTAGCGGTCTTTAAGCCAAGAGAATGGGTAAGATTTTTTATTAAGTTTGATATGAGGAGAACCTTATTGTCTTTTGGACTTAGCCCTATGCTTATGCAACATGTTGTGAGTAAGGCAATTTCAGGTTGAAGCCTTATTATGTAATTGTTATTTATGCAACAATAAATGCATTCTTCAACAATTGTCATCCATGAACTCTGCATTTAATGATTATTTGAAATTTTGAAGGCACTAGCAGATTGCTTCAGCTCACCTCACCTATGAGTTTGTACTAGTGGAAAAAAGGGCAAGTTTTGGATTATTTTGCTTTCTGTAAGCCTGTTATCTTGATGTACTAGAAGATTTCATAAATGAGTTAAAACCGTATGTATATTAAAATCATGTTACTAGAAGCCTTACTCTGCTTTGATTGCGCAGACTTCTACCCTTTAAAAGGCAGTAGAATGCACAAGGTTGAAATGTGCTATCCACATCCCAAACTGTTCTCCTGGAACTTTTAGCTGCATTGCTGTTTTCTTTCTTAAAGAAAATTGGAAAGTGTCATTGTTTGTGATTTAAATTGCCTTCGTGCTATTTTAATACCCTACCTATAAAAAAAATCCATTAAAAAGCCCTTTTCCTTCGAAGCCCTATGCCACTGACCAAGCAGGTCATAAATGAAAACTCACACATTCTTATAGAGGAAGATGATCAATCACAAGCAGGTAATAATTGCCTTTCCCAGCAGCTTACTTTGAGTTCGAAAGTGCTACGTATTTGTTCCTTGTGTACCCTGAGCTGCAGCTTCTACTTAGCATGAGTGTTTAGAGATCATGCTGTGGCACTGCATAAAGATTTGTACAATGACAGTTCAGTACCGTGTAGGTCCAGGGGACACTTTGCTCTGAGTCTGAATTTCTTATTACTGTATAAATTTAACCAGTGCCTGAGAACAAATTGGAATTTTGTAGAGGACAAAAACCCATCAGCTTATCATTTAAGACATAAACATACAGTCTGTCCCACTTATTTGAAAGAAGATCCCTCTGAATTTCAGTTTACAGGGTCTGAACTCTAAATACTGCATTCTTGCAAGCCGTATTTAACATGCATGCTTGATCCTTTTGCAGATTGTGAGTTCTCCTTTGAGGATAGCAGGAATATTCAGTCTTGAGTTTATTAAATACTCTGCAGGCTGCCTGCAGTGTTTTGTTTCAGCACGTGAAATGAGCAGCAGGCAGGAATGTTTTAGATTTTGAAGTAGGGGGCATGCCTCTTTGGGGAGTATATCTGTAATCTGTCACATAACCAGACGTTGTCCTACAGGGAACAATAGGAAAAAAGATTGTTGAGTTTGGGAGCAAGCTGCAGTGAAAGATGGTTTCAGACTTCTATGGCATTAACATCACCTGTGTACCTTGGATTTTTTTTTTTTTTCTTTTTTGGCAGCTGTTAACTAATCATGTCAGTAATTTTCAGTCAGATCTTTGGGTTAGCTTTTTTCATCTGCAAATATCAGGGGATGCTAAATTAAAAAACAAAACAAAACAACAACAACAACAAAAAACACAGATGGGAAAAGGATATTTCTGTTGAATATAGGAGCTGGTGTTCAGGGAGCTCATACAACTGCCTTGCCTGGTCTACTAACCATGCGCATGTATGCGTGCATTTTGTGATACAGGTGATACAAAGAAACTCATGGTTTGAGGGGCCTTTTGCGAAAGCATGCTTTGAAAGTCTTTGAGGTCTGCTAATAAAAATTGATGTTAGAGTGCTTCCATAGAAGTATTATTACTTGTAGGTTGAAAATAACATTTAGATGTGTTTAGATATGTTTACACAATTTTTGTTATACAGTTACAGAATTAAAAAAAAAATAGCATGCAGATACTAACAGCGGAAGGTAAATTCATTATTCTTCAGAGGCTTGTGATAAGAAACAAAATATTTATATTAATATACGTATATTTTTAGTTTAGTGATAAGAACCTGTTATATTATAGCTCCCTCGTACTGATTTTCACTTCATTTGTCTTGCCTGCAAGTGCTGCAATGAGCAAGTGGCTGCACCTGTGGTTTGAATCAGATGTTGGCAATCAGGTAATTAGTGCTCTGGTACATAGTGTGGTCCCTGTGGTTGAGGAGTGTTAGTTGGATTTAGACTGGTTGCTGGTCTTATTGTTGTGAAGCCTTACAGTTAATTTTCTAAAGGTAAGGAAAGTATTTGTTTTTGGGTGTTTAGTCTTACTGTGTTTTTTGGTGGGTATTACTGATACTTCTGTTCTCTTATTGAACTTTTTTTTTCCAGTATGAAATTCAGTTGTTGTAGGCCTTATAGTTTTTATTATTAGCAGTGTATCTTTGCTGAACTATTTTTTTCTTGATGAAGTTTTTAGGAGGTTATGTTATGTTATGTGGTACCTATGATTTCTAGTAGGTGGGGGTTTATTTTCTGTAGTTAAAAATGCACGGCCTTTTCTTAGGCTGATCACACCCTTTGGTTTGGGTGTGTTGCAACGTGCAGTATGTTCTGTATCTTTGTGTTGTGATACAGGAATTAGATTGATCATATATTTGGGTATAATTCTGTTTATAGAGACTATTTTATTGTTTTATTGCTGGTAACTTTGTGGTGTTTTAAATTATAATACTGTGTTTTTCATGGAATGGGAACTGTATTTAAAAACAGCTGAGCATACATCTTATATATGTATTATCTGGGATGGGGATTGTAGAAAAAAAACTATAATATTTCAGTTGATCTTCACACAACTAGTATGTTCTCTTTAACCATTTAGCGTCTACCTAAAAGTGCAAGCCTTTTGAAAATGTTTCCTAAAACTTTCTTTGTTTTGTTCTTTCTTACCTTTACCGAGTAGAGAAAAAGCATACAGATATAAATAAGTCTGCTTTTACGTTTCATATTTTTTTTTTCCACTGTGTTGTATATTGTTTTTTCTCTGTTTGCATTTTTCAACTTGATGTTTTGAAAAACTGTTATATCTGAGGCTTGTTAATTTTTAAACTAAGTAGAATAACTTGTTTTATGCTTTCTGTGTAAGGTCAGAGATGCAGTATTTCCATAGTCCATGGTTTCACATAACCAGTACTAGAAGAAATGCTTTCTTCCTTAATCTTAGGATGAGGAAATAAGTTAAATCCTGTTGTACCAAGCCCAAGACTAAATCCTAATCCATTGTTTCTGAAGGTAGCCTGGGTAGTCTTGCAGCTCGTTAGAAGTATTTAGTTTCAGGTGAGCTGTACTTTCCAAAATGCACTTCAGGTGCATGTTCTGGTATCCTTTTAAGTTAATCATGGCTTCAGTTTCAAGTACTCATTTGTACAGTTTCAGCTGACAGCCCCGCCCCAGGAAAAAGTAGACAGAATGATCTACGTTAAGTTAGTTAAAGAACAAAAACTTCACTTGAACAGTCAAATGACGAATGGGTGTCTGAGTATTTTCACTAACTAAGAAATAATAGAAATAGTTGACAACATCTCCAGTTGCTATTGACTTCCTCTTAATTGAAAAAAAAAAAAAAGGGAAGTAATTGTTTGAAAGGGAACTTAATGTTTGGAGAAGCTAATTACAATCTTAGACTTGTGTCATTATTTTTTTAATCAGAAAATGTAAGGGTGACCTCAATGTTGCTTTTCAGAGAAAGGCTTCTATAAAATGCAGGATTATTTGTAAATTGAAGCCAACTGGAAGAGCTTATATTTAAAAATAAAACCGTCTCCCAGAGCTTTAGCACAGTGCTTTGAGAGTCTGCCTTTTCAGTTCTTTGCACTAAGAACTGCTTTTAATTGTCTGAGCAATAGGGATGTGAATTAAAACCTTTCACCAGACGGAACATAGTGATCTATTTCTCCCATGCTTTTAGTGCAATAATGTAAGTGAAGGAAAAAGAGGAAAAACATTGCAGGTAGTTGTTCAAAAGCCTTGCATAAAGTTCCAGAGCCTGAAGCGAGGCAGACCTGGCTCACCTTTATGCCATGCAATAACACAGACAATAGTTCCAGTCTTTTAGGGTTGATTTTTCAAGAAGTGATTTATTCACTTATTTTCAAGATGCTCTGTGTTGCTTTACTTTGAACTGTATACAGCGATATGTTGTTGTGCTTTTTCCAAGAGGGCTAAGAAAGCCCAGGCTGAATACCTTGCCCTGCTGGATGTAATGCCTTAACACTTTGACAAAATAACTTCAGGATGTGTGTTGCTCCAACACTAATGTTGCCTCTTCATTTTCACAGAAACTACAACAGGTGCAGAGAGCACAATAACTCTGTTTGATAGGACAAATTCTCAGCTACAAAATACTGTTTTATATTCAACATGGTCTGTGCCATTAACTATGCATTTTAAGCAGTAATAAATAAGAGCCTGCATGCCATGTTTATACAGATTAAAAAAAGAAATGCACTGGTATAGGTGACATGCTGTTGCTGCTGCTGAACTGTATCACCCACTGCATCGTGCACTGTTCAGGCTCCATAAATGTTCAGCAAGTGTTGGTGAATGTCAGTGGGTGCCAGTTATTCAACATGGAGGAGTTCAGTGACACACCTTTGCTTTTTCAGCACTTCAGTGTCAGTCGCCATTTTGTCTGACTCCCCATCTGCTGCTGTCTGTCGCATGACAACAACATGTAATGGAATACTGATGGGAAGGTGCAGCCTCTACTGCTGTATCACCAACAGCTGTTTCTGATTTTGTGGGCCAACATAATAAAATAGGAGGCACTACTTCTAGAGCAACCCTCATAGTTGCACTGTTGTCCTCTGTTCCACTTGATGCTTGTATCAGTTCAAACTATCTTGCTATGCCATGCCTTGTGCTCAGTGTCTTTCTGGTATTAAATTAAAAAGAAGTTTCACAGCTTGAATAATTCCTGTATAAACTTAATGTGTTCATGTACCAAAGCATTGACAGAAGAAATTAAGTAATGCTATGTAGCAGATTAAGACCAAGAAAACTTTCATTTCTTTACTCAAGAATCAAAGGCTCATAGGTTTCGAAACCTGGTCATGATTTCTTTGTGGACCTGATAAGGATAGCTGTTCATAGCATTATCTGTCAGCTCATATTTACAGTCATATTGTGGCAGTTTAGATTAATGAGTGCCTTGGGGTACCAAGAAGGGCAGAGCACACAGAAGCAGCTCAAACTTGCTTCCTGGTTTGTTGGTTTTTTTTATTTTGCTTTTCTATCTAGTGTCCTAGGAGGACTACTACTGAAGTTGGATCAAGTATTTAGTGTTGTGTAGTTTGTTCTGTCTCAAGGGCACCATCTATTCATTCTGACTGGTTTAAATTGCTGCCTACCAGGACTAGATCTATTTTACATAGGCTGCAGACTGATCAGAAGGTGGTGAGAATGCTCTATCAAAATCTTATTTAATTTCATTTTGAAGTTGTGACCTGAATATTAGTGTGAAAATTTGAATCTACTGAATGTTCTTGGGATGGTGTTCTATATGTATTGCATTGAAGTGGGCCTGTCTTCCAAGTGGTGGGTGTTTTTTGTTTTTTTTTTTTAGAAAAAGCTGTTCAATCTTATGGCCAACAACTGTAGTATAGCTATATGCCAGTATGTAAAATATATGAATGGCAGGATATTGCTAGTACTGTTGTTCTCAAGTTATGGAAAAGAATTAAGTGGTGGTGTGTATTTGTTTTTTTTCCTTACATCATCTCAGATTTGTCCTTAAACTTCCAAATTATCTTTGTGGGAACTCTTATTAACTTATTGGTCAGTATCTGCTGTTGAATTGCAGTGCTTTAGCTTCAGTAACTGATTAGTAAACTGTAGTCTGAAATCAGAATGTAAGACATGTATGCTTTGCATGTTTTGCAGCAATGGCTCATTAAGCTTTCATAAATTGGGTAATCTTTTGAAGTTTGTGCTTTCTCTATGCCTTGTCCTGTGTAACAATGTACAAGGAATTCAGTAAAAGCCAGCAGCCGCGCAGTTTAGTTTGAGATGACTGCTTCTACAAGCCTTCTTAACGTAGGACTTGAAAGGACTGTGAAAGTAAAACTGAAATAGTTAGCTTGCATTAGATAATTGATGTTATGTTTTTATGCCAGAGACTCCAGAGACATGTCTAGTTCTGCTATATTCACTTCTTTCCCTTTAATTTTCTCTTTATGTGTATGGTATGGTGTCTACTCCAGTGATATATACATTATTTTCTTATTTCTGCTCACAGTAGTGACCTGAATGACAGTAATAGTGAGTGAATGTATTGTTGTCTTCCATTCTGACAATGTTCGATCTCTTCCTGTTGTTGTGTACACTAAAGTAATACAAGTGATTGCATAGCAAGTCTGTCATCAGGAAAGTATCACTATGAGGAGAACTGATTACTTGCATCACTTGACAATTCATATGTTTGTAATGAACATACAGGAGGCTGGGAGTGCAGTAGTAACTGTGTTTTGAAAGGCTTCCTGATGTATCTGGCCTCAAAAGTACACCTGGGTTTGTTACTTGCTATGTTACTGAAGCAGAAGCGTAATGAGATATTGAGTATGCAACTGTTCTACAGGTGGATGAGAAAGATGTCCCACTATGAAAATACTGGCTTTTTCCATCTATGGTTTGTTATCTTGTGGTCATGGACAGGGAATGTCACTTCAGTCTCCCTGCATGAGTAGTGTGAAATGGCACCGTTTCTTCTAGGTCCCAAGAGGGAGGGATTTAACCTTTCCTTGAAGTCTGCTTTCCCAAAGTGTGTTTGTTGTCTTTTTAAAATATTCTGAAATGTTTCATTAAGCATTTATTGGGGGGGAAGAAAAGATGCACAACAAGAATAAAATTGAAACTAATACTACTGAGGCCATCTTGTAGTTATTGGCGAACATAAAGAGTGATGTGCTCAGAAGCGTGCAGGTCTGGACATACAGGAATACTTACAGTAGTATGTATACACTGTGTTAGATAATGCTAACTGGGTTATTTCCTCAATGAAAAGAGGAGTAATCTATCTCCCATGTTAGTTACTATGTGAATTCTAATGTGCTGTAATTACCCAGTTTTGCTTCCCTAGTTTGTGGTCATAATTATTTGGTCTTTATCACCATATGTTTCCATTTGGCAGTTCAAAAGTCTTTTTTTAGCTTTGTTTGCAGAAAGCAAAGAATGTTTCCTACTGTAGGGTTTTATTTGAGAGGAAAACAGGGAAGAAATTCCTTGAAAAAACATAAGC